ACTAATGACAAACTGAAACACAGTATCTAAACAAAATAAATACTATATTGTATTAATTTTGCAAAAAAACTTTTAAATTATCAGAAAATTTGATGTTCAAATATATTTCCAAAAGTCATAATCCTCGTCATGGTCTTCATCGAATGGTTCTTCGAAATATTCACTTTGTGGTAAAAGAGCTGGAGTGAATGCTAGGAAATATTTGGCAGTAAATTCGAAAACATCCTCAGGTTTCAAGTGAAGAATCGTTTGGACGTAATCAGAAATCATTTCACGCACTTCCGGTTGATCATCTAAATAATTCGCAATGTGTTTTTTACTCATCATCTGAAACGAGTGTTTGACTCGGCTACGCCTCGGTTAAGTCACTCACTTTAGCGTCCAAATAAAGCGATAATAATTGAATATCATCATGGAGGGGTTTTCTCTCCAAGGGAATCCTATCATAAGCCCCAAGCTCAATCAAAGGATTCAATTGAAGAATATAATTACAAAAATACCACTCCTGTTTTAGAATTTTACCAGTCAGAGTCATTAAAGTGATACTTTTGTGCTTTATCCCACATTCTTCAACTATGGTACGATAAATTTTACACACATCGACTTTTTTATCGTTAATTATCCCACTCGAAGGGCCTTTACATTCCTAAATTTTTCATTTATTATCACAAATCATTGTAAAATGATACGTACATAAATATTCCGACACAAACTGCCATTAATATACAGCGTTGTTGTCTCAAAAAAACCGACAAATTTCGTAATGGCCAAATAACGCATCAGGACGAAATTGGCACCTTCACAAATCAAATTTCGCGCCTTTTTAGGACTATAAAAAATGTCCTTTCTTTTATCATGACGCAAATAGTAGAAATTTTCTTGTGAGCTGACATACAAGGCTTGTTGGTCTAACCCATCATCCATTTGCACATATCTAAAAAATGGTGAAAAATAAAATTTGGGGCCCCAACTTACTCTCTCCTTTTCTCTTCCAGAGTCTGCAAGTTTTGATCGACCCATGCCGTGATCCTCGAGCCCCCATTGTACCCGCAAAAGTCCAGTTGCGAAGACAAGTGTACGAGAAACTTGGGTGCTAGAAAATCGCTCTTGGTTTTCGTTTTCTGGTATTTGAGGGGGCCCCCGCGCGCTTCCTGGACATCAAGACTCAATGCACCCACCGGAGTCGGAGACAGCGAATTCGACTCGAACGTACTTACTAATAAATTCTCATTAAACATGATATTTTTGAAGATGTTATCGTCTGTAACAAGGCCGCTTTTTACAATTATTTAAGTATTTTGGTAAACATAAACTTACTTATATTGAAATTTGGGATTGTTTTGTCCAAAGACATCCATCCACTTTTCATTTGGGGTTTTTTTAATCTACGGCGCGGTTTTGCTCGTGTGGCCCCTTGGACTACCTCCTCGACGATTTCTCGCGCTGTGGAGAGGGCAGGGGTGAGGGGCTCACCACTGGGGGCGTTGAGTTTCAAATGGTCGCACATGGGGGGACATTTTTCCCGAATTTTCGTGATTTCACTGCAAGGCTCAACGGTGGAGTTTTCTCGATTTAGAGACTCATTTGAACGGAAAATCTTGCGTAAGCTGGAGTCGGTCTCAAATTGGGTGGTAATGAAGCCCCCAGAACCGGTATTGAGGCTCTTAGTGGGGCTTCCAGCAGCGCTACTTCGGCCACTCGAGGGGGTTTTCAACACATGCCCACTCATTTTCAAACTGGAAATTTGACAGGAGCGGTCACTGTTTTACCGACAGAGTAACAATTAAAACAAGGGTAGTTTTAAGTTTTCCAGTGATTTAATTAATTACAAAACGTGACATTGCTTAATATAATAAATATTAGAAGAGTGGAAAATTCTTAAATTCTTACATTTGGGTGTTTTTTATTACCTGTCAAGTTTTCTAACGTTGGTGCAACTGTGTGAACGCCGGCAATTGTTTTTGGTTTTTTCACGTTTAACATAATTTAGTGAGAAAAATTAGTGAAAGACGAGAGTTTTAGGAAAATGTTATTAGAAAAGTGGGAAGTATTTACATTTTGTGCGGTTTTTGTCAGTCAATTTTTCTAACGTTGGTGCAACTGAACGCCGGGAATTGTTTTTGAATTTTCTTTAGTTTTAACATAATTTAGTGAGAAAAATTGGTGAAAAACTACGAGAGCTTTAGGAAAATGGTAAATAAGACTCAGGTTATTAGAAAAGTGGGAAGTTTTTATTTTGTGTCAATTTTTCTGACGTTGGTGTGACTGTGAACGCCGGCAATTGTTTTTGAATTTCCATCACTTCTTGCGTCTTTCAACACACTTAAGTGAGGAAAATTAGTGAAAAACAACGAAGAAAATGACAAATAACATTCAGGTAAGTTAGATTTAAGTATTTATTCCATTTTCATGCAACAAAACATAATTGATACTTGTGAACAATATTGAACGATTTTCAGTCCACTTGTACGTTTCCAGGTTAGTTATTTTACTTAATTGGCGAGAATTTTGAAAAATATTTGCGAAAACCTGAAAACAATGCGATTTTATCGAAAATTATGTAGTGTCGAGTGTGCAGTTTTTTACTTTATCGACATGGTGGTTTTTCCTGCGCCACCTAGTGTTGTATTTAAATTGCGGTGTTTATAAAATTGCAAGTTGTATTTTTATCAAATTTTACCGAATTTCACACATTTACTTGCTTTAGCAACGTTTCAAACATGGTAAGTTTATTAAATCAAGTATTGGGAATAAACAAAATCCGATCGTTTAACTTTTTGACACTTTGAGGTTAAGTCAAATGACAAGGCTATTTTCCTTTTTAGTCGATTTTGGCGTACAATGGGGGCGCCATGGTGGCCATGAAAGGCGACAAATGCGTCTCGATCGCCTCCGACAAACGTTTCGGCATCCAAGCCCAGACAATCGCCACCAATTTCCAGAAAATCTTCGAAATGGGGCCCCACCTCTACGTCGGCTTGCCGGGCCTCGCCACTGACACCCAAACCGTGATGGAGAAACTCCGCTTCAGGAAAAACCTCTACGAATTGAAAGAAAACCGTCTCATGTCCCCGAAAGTTTTCAGTGCGATGCTCTCAAATATGTTGTATGAAAATCGATTTGGGCCGTTTTTCGTCGAACCAATTGTCGCAGGCTTGGACCCTGGCACCTACGAGCCGTACATTTGCAACATGGACTTGATTGGGTGTCCAAATCAACCGGACGATTTCGTTGTGGGGGGCACCGCCTCGAGCCAACTTTTCGGCATGTGCGAGTCGCTGTGGGAGCCCAATTTGGGGCCCGATGAGCTGTTCGAGACCACGTCGCAGGCGCTGATCAACGCGTTTGACCGGGATGCCATCTCGGGGTGGGGGGCTGTGGTTTATATAATGTGAGTGGTAAGAGAGAGAGAGAGTTTCAGGGGGGTAATTTGTCTTTTTACAGTGAGAAGGATAAGGTGACTGTGAGGGATTTGAAGACGCGGATGGATTAATTTTATTGTATTTTGTATTTTTTAAGCGGAGAAAATCTAATAAAATTAAAAAAAAAAGATTGTTTTTTTTATTTGTAATGCGTCATAAGAGGGTTGAAATTAATCTCATTACACGGTTTAACACCCTTTAATTCGGCCCTTATGTCAAAACAAAATTATATCCGGCTTAATAAACAATTTTTTCTGTACTAAAATTAATAATGTCATTTTTCTCTCTCAGTTTGATTTAATATCATATATTTTGTTATGAGTTGACGAAATTGTTGGGGTTGTTTCAGTTCATCCCTTATTGTAGTGCACGTGCATAAGTGAGCATGAAAACTTAGGGGTTGACTTTTAATAACGGCTAATACACCCTATCCAAAACAAATCAGATTGACGAGGGATTTATAATTTGGGTGCTTTTATTTGGAATTGTGACAAATTACGTCATGATGGATAGGGCTGGGGTGATATAAGTTTTCATAATTTTGGAGTAATTATTTGAACGCTCTCACACCCGTGTAAAACGTTAATTTAACCATCTTTGTCACGCGATAGCAATTGTTTATTCCTGGATATTGTTGGAAAATTTTGACGCGCTAAAAAGTAAAAAACAATAATTCATTGATAATTCTTCAAAGTAGTAGAGTTTTATAGAGAAAAACAGGCATAAATTTTAAGTTTAATAAAAAATTTTAACCAAGAGTGGGTTGGATTTTAATCAATTTGACAGTTAGTCACATTTTGCGTCAATGTGCCTCAAATGATAGAAAAACGGTAGCAAAGATCGCTTTGTAAAGCAGATAATTTACCTAAAATAAGAATAATAAATAACAGAAACATTAAAACAAAGAAAAACAAATCTATTAAAAAAATGAAAACGGAAGAATTACTTTTTTCATCAAATTTTCTGATAATTTAAAAGTTTTTTTGCAAAATTAATACAATATAGTAATTATTTTGTTTAGATACTGTGTTTCAGTTTGTCATTAGTTAATTTAAAAGCAAACCAAAAATAAAAATATCAGAATAAGATGATTTGCGAAGGCAGAAGAATTTGATGACAAAACTGATTTGAAAGAAAGTTTAAAAAAGACAAAGCGACGTTAAAAACATTTAAGATTTACAAAAAATAAGAAAGAAAGAAATAAAGTTGAAAAATTGGAAACAAGGATGTAAAACGAGTAAAAAGAAAGCACAACATAAGAAAGAATAAAAATATGGAAAAACGAATATTGGAGTTAAAATGAGAAGAATGTAGGACAGAAATATTGGAGAAAGAAGAACATTATGAAAAAGTATCAAAAATGGATAAAAGTAGTCAAAAAAATCGAAACAACAGAAAACCTGAAAGTAATTTAATATAACTAAACAGGAAGACTAAATGAAACAAGAAAATAGTAAACAGAAAAAACAGAAAAATACAAAAATGTAATGTGAAAATATGAGGAAACATTAATTGAATTCCATTTTTCTCTTGGAGTTAATTTCGGTAGCAAACTAGTCGGAAATAGTATATTACATAACGAGCACAGAAAGTGATAAATAACGCACAAGCGGGAAAGTTGCGCACGAGGCGTTCCTGCAAGTTTTGTACACTATTTTTCCTACGACCATAAATAATTTTTTTCTTACGAACATATATTTTTTTCATAACTAGTTATTTTTTATAATGGATACAAAAATACGTTGAATATCGATTTATTTTTTATAATGGATACAAAAAAAAATTCGTTGAATGAAAAAATACAAAACATTCGAGTGTGAATTGTGCGTTAGATTTCTAACATACAGTGCGAAAACAAATCGCACAGGTTTTACGATATTGCCAATTTTCGCGCATATGTATTTGTGCGTTATGATCTACTTTCGTATATGGTCTAGATGATCAACCGGAAGTGCGAAAAATGTCATTTGAATTTCCGAGATTTCCGAGTTTTTTTTGCAAATTCTTTCTATTCGTTTTCATTGGAACACCTGTAGATAGACAGAGTGAACATAAAGTATGGAACCATTTTTAAATCATTTGTGTTCAGAAAATAATAATTGTCATAAAAGATGTGGTGAAAATGAAATTTCGTTTTGTTTTTGAGTTTCGCGATTTCTTTCTCAAAATGGCAACTTGTATGAAATTTTTTTTGATAAAAATTGAATAAATAGTAAAAAGCAGTAATCCTTAGATCATAGCCTTTGTAAAAAAAGTTTTATAGTAAAACAAAAAATTTCGAAACATTTTATTCTTGAGAAACGTTACATTTTTATAGTACTTATCAAAAAATAAATAGTTTAAACAAAAAACGTTTGGTTCCATTTCTGTTCACTCGGTATAATAAAAACAAGTTAATTTTTAAACTTCATTTATGCAATGTGAATGAATCTTGATAACTAAAGAAATGAATTAATTTAAACAAAAAATTGTTTGGGGAAATAATCAAAACGCCATTTTCTACACTTAGAGACAGCTAAAATTTTTCCAATCAATGAAAAATTAACTTTCTTCCTGTCTCATAAAAGTAGAAAATTTTCGATCACTAGTGTCAAAAACCTGTGATTTGTTTCTTACCTTTCTGTTGCGTCTTGACGAGTTTTCGTAAAAGATTGAAATAATCCGAGACTAGAATTTTTTTGCACCCTTCCTGAACGGAAACTTGAAGATTATATTGATACAACATTTTCATTAGAGAATTTTTTAAGCCGGGTACTTCCAGTTTAGTTTATATTATTAAAAAAATGATAAAAGTGTTATGTACCAAAAAACAAGCTTTATTTTCTAATATAAACTTTGTGATAACTACTGCTTTAAAAAAAATCCAAGTTTAATAAAACATTTAGAAATGAAATTCTAACGACACAATATAAAAATTTTCACTTTCTGCTGTCTCGAAAATTAACATTCTCATTTAAGAGATTTTTTTTCTTGTAATTTTGAAGCTAGTTCATCGACTTTTGAAAAACGGTTTTCCATATTAACACCATATTTTTCAATAAGAGACGAAATATTTAGACAAAAATATACCGAAAAGTCACCAAATTCAGTGAAAAATAATGAATTTTGCTTGTTTACATCACGTTTTTTGTAAGATTTTGTTAAAACATATTGAAAAATTACCAAATTGGGTTGAAAATGATCTTTTTGATGATTTTTTGGGCGTTTTAGCACGTTTTTCAATTAAAAATTTACAAAATTATTTCGTCACAAATCGCTAAATTTACTCAAAAATGGTGTTTTTTTACTTTTTTAGTTTGTGCTAAAGAATTTGTTCAAAAATAATACTATTTTTCCGTTTTAGGACGTTTTTTAGTAAGAATTGAAAATTTTCATCGAAAATGAGGTTAAAAATGAATTAACTATCACGAAACTAAAATTATTTTTGCTTCTTTGGAGAGTTTAAGCATGTTTTTGAACCGAAAAATCATCTAGTTGCTTATCCAAACGTCTTTTTTTTTCAATCCAAAAGCACAAAACTTCGGCAAAAATAAGCCGAAAAATCACATAATTAATTCAAAAATAATGTTATTTTTGCTTTATTCAAACATTTAGTTGCGTTTTTAAGTCTAGAACAACGTTTTTCCTTTAATTTTTGCTAAAAAACATATCAAAGAATTAATACATATACCAGACTAAATAAAAAACGATTCTTTTCGAGCGTCTTAAAACATTTTTCAATAAAAAACGCATTATTTCGCAAAATTAAGTAAAAATAGTGTTATTTGTGCTTTTTTTAAACATTTATTTATTATTATTTATTTATTTATTTATTGATTTAAACATATTTTAACACTTTTATCCACAGTTTATTTAATAATCCAAGTTGTAAATAACGCCTTTAGCATTTGGTAATTTTATTCCTAATAAAAATCACTTAAAAGTCTTTTTCAATAAAAGAATATTGCGAAAAAAATTGTTTTAAAGATAATTTCAGTTTTCAAAAAAAATGTTTCACCTAACCTTTATCCACTCACCTTTTCAATTGTAAATTTGATCCCTCTAAACGTCTGAATTTTTAGATTGTATTAAAAAATTTGTTCAAAAATAATACCATTTTTTTAGGACGTTTATTTAGTCAGAATCGCAATTGTTTTGAAAATTTTCATCGAAAATGGGGTAAATAATGAATAAATTATTATTACGAAATTAAAATTATTTTTGCTTCTTTGGAGAGTTTAAGCATGTTTTGTGAACCGAAAAATCATCTGGTTGCTTATCCAAACGTCTTTTTTTTCAATCCAAAACACAAAACTTCGACAAAAATAAGCCGAAAAATCACATAATTAATTCGAAAATGATGTTATTTTTGCTTTTTTCAAACATTTAGTTGCGTTTTTAAGTCTAAAACAAAGTTTTTTATTTAATTTTTGGTAAGAAATATACCCAAAAAATACTAGACTAAATAAAAAACGACTTTTCTCGAGCGTTTTAAAACATTTTTCAATAAAAACGCAATTATTTCGCAAAATTTTGTCAAGAATACGCCAGAAAGTAAATGAATTAAGTAAAAATAGTGTTATTTGTGCTTTTTTTTAAACATTTATTTATTATTATTTATTTATTTAAACATATTTCAACACTTTTATCCACTGTTTATTGAACAATCTAGGTTGTACATAACACTTAAAAGTCTTTTTCAATAAAAAAATATTGCGAAAAAAATTATTTTAGAAGAAAATACTAGTTTTCAAAAAATGTTATATCCACTCACCCCTTCAATTGTAAATTTGATCCCTCTAAACGTTTGAATTTTTACCGAAAATTTTACAAAAAATTGTTTTATGCATAATTTTTTGCCTAATTTTACTCCAGATATTGTAATAAAATTGCCCAATATAGTAAGCACCCTTTTCTAAAACACAAAATTCGCTCTGAAACGTCAATAATCCCTCATTCCTTATCGCCTCGTCCTTAAACCCCACAATTGCATCCCCCGCTGCAACATATTGCAAAATTCCCATTGGTTCTCGTTGCAATTAAACCACCCTCGACTCGCGCCCACCAATCCCAAGCCACCACTTTTAACCCGCGTGAAAACCTCCCGGAATTAGAATCAAATAGTCCGGAAGGCGTCAACTGATCAACATTAGAGAATTATTTCAGTGATTCAGTGAAATGAAAATGTCGTTTTCGAGTGATCACGGACCGTGGGAAGGAAATAATGTGAGTGATAATAAATTAAAAAATCAATTGAAAAAAAAAAAGAAAAATTGTAGCATGCCGACTTTCCCAATTACCCTAACGAAATCGGGGGGTATAGTGGGCTATGGGACCCCCATCACTGTCTCGGGGGGCAAAACCCGGCCTTGGGGGGCTATCCCGACATTCTCACTGCGTTCAACTCAGAATTAGGTATTTTAACAATAACACAAGGCGACAAAAAAAAAGTCATGTCGTGACAACTTGACAAATTTTATATCATTTTGTTCGTCTCAGTGAGACAAATCAAATGCACTAAAAAAATTTTCAAAAAGTCCACACACTTTGAACTAAATAATTTTTTTCTAATTTAAATGAATTTAAAATACTTTAACTTTAAAAAAATCATTACTCAATAACTATTAGGCCGATTTTCTGTAAATAAAGACTTACGAGTATTTTTTTTCTTTGTCACCATCGTGTAGAGCATCTCTTTATTAGTTATAATCCAAATTTTCATAAAAATATACCGAGTAGTTTTCAAGATATGATTTTTTGGAGTTAAGGTTTGCTAATCAAGGGGAGAAATGCATGTTAATCTTACTTAAAATTGTATTTTTATAAAAGTATTTGTTTTAAGACTCTTCTTTTGCTTAAAAATGGTCAATTGCACCTTCTTTGTTCTAATTACAATAAACAAAAACTGTTTGTTTACTTAAAACAAATAAAGAGTACATGTGTACTAATTAAAGCAAATAAAGAGTTTTTCTGTTGTAACAATGACCACTGATCATTGTGCAAAAAAGGTCTTTTTCTTTTTTTAACTTTTTTTTATCCCGATTTTTGTCTCCTTTCTTTGTTTTTCCTCTAAATCATTGAATCATTTATATTACTACTATTTATTCTCTCTGTTTCACTTTCTTGATTCCTGTTTTTATTTCTTTGTTCTGTCTCAGAAATTATACCTTTTTTCACGCTGTTCTCCACGTTTATCGATTTTGTGTTCTTTCTTTCTCTTTTTAGGTCAGTCTTATTTTTCAATGTTTGCTTTTTTCTTGTCTTTCTTTAAGTTTTTGTTTATTACTTTTTTTACTTTTAAAAGTTTTAATTTAGAAGAAAATAAAATAAAATTTAATAAAATCAATAGCAATGTTATAGTTTATTACATCGCAAGTCTACAAAAAGAACCAAGAAACAGTAAAAGCTATAAAAATAAACGACATCACCACCAAAAAAGTGAAACACTTATTTGTATAAAATTCAAAATCGAACAAAGTCTGTCTTTTCTTTCCTTTTTTTCTGTATTTCTTTTATCTTTTATTCTTTTTGTTTCATCCTTTCCTTCCCTTTACGTAAAACTTCTTTTCTCTTTACATCTGTCTGATTTTTATTTTTTCTACTTTTCTTTTACTGTTTTGCCTTTTGTTTTTATTTCTTTTTCCTTCTCAATAACTACAGTTTCACTTTTACACTGTATACTTTGACCATCTTTCTATCTATTTTTAAGTCTTTTTCTTCTTTTAACTTTTTCTGCATCTCTTTCTTTTTATCATGATTTTGTCTCCTTTGTTTGTTTTTCCTCAAAATCATTAAATCATTTATATCACTATTTATTCTCTCTTTTCTCTGTTTCACTTTTTTGCTTTTTGCTTTTAATTCTTTGTTCCGTCTCAAAAATTATACCTTTTTTCACGCTGTTCTCCCCGTTTATCGGTTTTGCGCTCTTTCTGTCTCTTTTTAAGTCAGTCAGCATTCAACATCAGTAGAAAGTGATGAAAAAGCATTTGCTGAGAACATTTTCAAAAAAAAGTTCAGAAAGCTAGAACAAAGTGAACAAGTTGGAATGGAAATGGAAAGTGATTTAATTTGAAAAAGATTTGTTCTTATATTTAAAGCTACTGCTTTAAACTTCTAGATCCTTTTTGCTCAATGATCAGTGATCATTTTTAGAACAAAAAAACTTTTTATTTGCTTTAATTAGTACGCAGGTACTCTTTGTTTGTTTTAAGTAAAGAAACAGTTTTTGTTTATTGTAATTAGAACAAAGAAGGTGCAATTGATCATTTTTAAGCAAAAGAAGAGTCTTAAAACAAATACTTTTATAAAAATGCAATTTTAAGTAAGATTAACATGCATTTCTCCCCTTGATTGGCAAACCTTAACTTCAAAAAATCATATCTTAAAAAATACTCGTTATATTATTTTAAAAATTTGGATTCTTACTAATAAAAAGATGGTCTCCACGATGGTGACGATGAAAAAACTTTATTCTTAGGGTTTTTCTTAGATTATTTCGATTTAGTTCGAACTTCTTCGAACACTGTTCGAAGAAAAGTTTGCCAATATTCAATTTCAAATTGCATATTATTCTAAAGGGCAAGGCCATCCCTTTAGAATGGTCTTTATGTGAAGGAAATCGGCCTAATAGTTATTGAGTAATGATTTTTTAAAGTTAAATTCATTTAAATTAGAAAAAAAATATTTAGTTCAAAGTGTGTGGACTTTTTGAAATTTTTTTAGTGCATTTAATTTGTCTTACTGAGACGAACAAAATGATATAAAGTTTGTCAAGTTGTCACGACATGACTTTTTTTTGTCGCTTTGTGTAATTATTAGAATTTTGTGATTGTTTTGATTAGTGTGGCCACGACAACAATGCGGGGGGCTTGTCGGGAACCGTTTGGGGCGCAATGGCCCCCAAAATGGCACCCAAACCCAGAAAAAACCACGGAGGAGAGTGGCAACTTTGGCACAACGTCGAGCTGCCAATATTAGAGAAAGACGCAGGATGTTTAATCTCAATGAGGCTTTTGATAAACTACGAAGAAAAGTAATAAAACAATAAAATGGGAAAAAACAAAAAAAAAGTCTAAATCTATTACAGGTGCCAACATTTGCCTACGAAAAAAGACTCTCCAGGATTGAGACTCTTCGTCTCGCTATCACTTATATCAGTTTCATGTCGGAGTTGCTCCATGGACACCCCCCGGACCACAAGAGCCCCGATATGTACCCCCAGAGGGAGTACATCCCGTATGGTTTAATTAACTAATTTTATTATTTTTTAAATTGTCTTCCAAACTGTCTTCCAACAATAAATATAATCAATTTTTAACTAATTTTCCGAGTAGTGTTATAATTTCCCGAGTATGACGTTTCAACTTCATATAACACGTGACATGAAATATGACAGTTTAGGTTAGGAAATGGTCATTTCTAACCCTATCAATTATTAAAATGAAGTTGAAATATTATATTTTCCAACTTTTCACTTGCAAAGTGATGTTATGATTGCGTTATGATTGTGAATAAAATAGTATACAAACCACGGAGTGATGTAATTTTCCTCCTGGCATGTAATATACTATTATTCAAATTTTTGCTACTTAAAAAACTCTGAATAAACAATTACGAACAACAAGAAATAACATTAAATTTTGACTTAAGTAATATACAGGGTGGAAAAGTAAAAGTACTTTATTTTTTTCTTTTATTATTATTTTATATTAATATTATTTATTAGCGGTTTATCAAATTGGATTGAAATTGGGTACACAGGTAGTTAAAAGTTTTTATTTAAATTTTATCGTCTGGAACATTTTTAAATTTCTGCCCTCATTTGTTTTTGTTTTAATATTAGGAGGGGTGAAATTTAATAGTTTGGAAAAGAAAAATTTTTCTACTTCTATGTTTTTGTTTGGCTTTCTAAATGGTATATAAGTATGTATATTTTTTTAAATTTTGATTGCGACGTTGCCAAGTTTTAATTACTTTTTATTTTACAAAATGACTTAAATTTTTTTAGCTACTTTATTATTAATAATAAAAAAATATTGTTCATTAATACTATTGTTTAATGTTATTTTTTTTTGCTTTTATTATACAGGGTGTTAATGACAAGTAATCAGATTTTGTGGAGTTGTGAAACAATCATCATATCAGGTGAATAAAAAGTATGGAATCAAACGTTTTTTGCTTAAACTATTTATTTCATGTAGTTTTCTACCTGGCATGTAATCTACTATTATTCAAATTTTTGTTTTTTAAAAAAACTTTAAATAAAAAATTACGAAATCAACAAGAAATAACGTTAAATTTTGACGAGTTAAGTAAGGTACAGGGTGGGAAAGTAAAAGCAGGTGCTTTATTTTTTATTATTATCTTATATTATTATTATTTATAAACGGTTTATCAAATTGGATTGAAATTGGGAACACAGGTAGTTAAATTAAAAATATATTTATATAAATTTTATCGTCTGAAATATTTTTAAATTTCTGCCCTTGTTTTTATTTTAATATTAGAAGGGGTGAAATTAAATTTTATAGGAAAAAACATTTTTTTGACATCTATATTTTTGATCATCTTGCAAAATGGTGTGAAATTATATATATTTTTTAATTTTGATTGCGACGTTGCCAGGTTTTTAATTTTTTTTTTTTACAAAATGACTTAAATTCTTCTAGCATCTATATTATTAATAATAAAAAAATAAATAAATTTTGTGCATCAATAAAGAAAGATTTACTTTATTGTTTGATGTTATTTTTTTTTGCTTTTACACATTTTTTTATTAGATGATCTAAGAAATTAAACGTAAATTTGACTGATTATATTTTTTTTTTGGAAATTGATAAATCTTTACAGAAAAAAATGTTTTAGTAGATCAAAATCTAGATTTTTAACTTTATAAAATTTTAAGTATGACATTTCAACTTCACTTAACACGTGACAAGAAATATGACAGTTTAGGTTAGGAAATGGTCATTTTTTAAAATGAAGTTGAAATATCATACTTTCCAATTTTTCACATGCAAGCTAATTTTATGATTGCGTTATGATTGTGAATAAAATAGTATACAAACCTCAGGGTGATGTAATTTTTCCACCTGGCACGTAATCTACTATTATTCAAATTTTTGTTTTTTAAAAAATTAAAAATTACGAAATCAACAAGAAATAATGTTTAATTAACTAATTTTATTATTTTTAAAATAGTCTTCCAAACTGTCAAAGAATAAATAATCAATTCTTAACTAATTTCCCGAGTAGTGTTATAATTTCCCGATTCTGCTTCAATTTCTCTTCAAGCAACTCATTTTTGCGTCTAATCAACCCACACATTTCCCTATACCGTTCTTCCTTTTGTTTACTATTCTTCTTAATGAACTTCTTCAAAAAATCACAATCGTCTTCATCGCTTTTCTTCTTGAGTTTGTTTTTTGGCACCCACTCATCATCGTCTTCTTCACTCTTCATTTCAGTGCCCAACTCGCCCATTTCTGGTCCTTTTTGGGTCAAATTGAGAAATTTTTGTGCACATTTGGGCCCATCGACGTCATAGCCCGCCATTCGCATTTCGGCGGCGATTTCCTCCCACAGTTTGTTTTTCAGAAAACTGTTCTTGAATCTCGATGAGTATTTCTCAGAGTTGCGAAGTTTTAACAAATGGGTGGCTGCGCTAATGTCGGTTTCCGAAGGGCGACCCTTTTTGTACCACACGTTTTGGAGGGTGGATGGGGCGCGTTTGACGACAATTCGTCGTAGATTTGGCTCTTTGGTGAAGAGGAAATGGAATTGGCCCATTTTTGCAGCTTTGTTCACGTATTCGGCGAGGTATTGGTCGTCGTCGTTGAGCTTTTTGATGGTGTGCGAATCGGCGGTTATGGTCACGAGCTGCTCGTTGAGGTACAGTTGAGTGGACTCCATTTTGCACTAAAAAAGTGGAAATTTGGTGTTACAACCCATGGTCGGGAAATAATAAGGTCACGAGACCATAAACTGTCAAAAGATGACAGAAGTATAATAGTAGATTGCATACCGAGGCGATAAGTGAACCAACCACCACTAAAGTTGTATACTATTTTATTCACAATCTTTAAAACCAATAAAGAACTTTTTAAATTTATAAAATTTTAATCATGACATTTCAACTTCACTTAACACTTGACAAAATATGACAGTTTAGGTTAAGAAATGGTCATTTCTTACCCTGAACGGTATATTTCATATCAATTATTAAAATGAAGTTGAAATATCATACTTTTCAACTTTTCACTTGCAATCATAGATTGCGTTATGATTGTGAATAAAATAGTATACAAACCTCAGGATGATGTAATTTTCTACCTGGCTTGTAATCTACTATTATTCAAATTTTTGTTTTTTAAAAAACTTTAAATAAAAAATTACCAAATCAACAAGAAATAACGTTAAATTTTGACGAGTTAAGTAAGATACAGGGTGGAAAAGTAAAAGCAGGTGCTTTATTTTTTTTTTTTATTTTGAATTATTATTATTTATTAGCGGTTTATCAAATTGGATTGAAATTGGGAACACAGGTAGCTAAATTAAAAGTATAAGTATTTATATAAATTTTCACAATCTTTAAAACCAATAAAGAACTTGTCAAATTTTTGAAAAACTTGACATATGACAGTTCAGGTTGGGAAGTGACCATTTCTTACCCTGAACTGTATTTTGAAATATCATCCTTCCCAATTTTTTACTTACAAAGTAATTTTATTATTGCGTTATCATTGTGAATAAAATAGTATACAAACCTCAGGGTGATGTAATTTTCCACCTGGCACGTAATCTATTATTACTCAAATTTATGTTTTTTAAAAAACTCTAAATTAAAAATTACGAAATCAACAAGAAATAATGTTAAGATACGGGGTGGAAAAGTAAAAGTAGGTCCTTTATTTTTTTATTATTATCTTAAATTTCTGCGCTTGTTTTTGTTTTAATATTAGGTGGGTAAATATTTAAGTAAAAAATATTTTTTTAATTTTGATTGCCAGGTTTTTAATACTTTTTACAAAATGACTTAAATTCTTTTAGCATCTTTATTATTAATAATAAGAAAATCAAATTTTGTGCATTAATAAAGAAAGATTTACTCTATTGTTTGATGTTATTTTTATTTGCTTTTACACATTTTTTTATTATGAAATCTAAGAAATTAAACGTAAATTTGACTGATTATACATTTTTTTTGGAAATTGATAAATCTTTACAGAAAAAAAAAGTTTTAGTAGATCATAATATAGATTTTTAAATTTATAAAATTTTAAGTATGACATTTCAACTTCATTTAACACGTGACATGAAATATGATAGTTTAGGTTACCCTGAAATATCATATTTTCCAACTTTTCACTTGCAAAGTAATTTTATGATTCCGTTATGATTGTGAATAAAATAGTATACAAACCTCGGTGATGTAATTTTCTACCTGTCATGTAATCTACTATTATTCAAATTTTTGTTTTTTTTTTAAACTTTAAATAAAAAATTACGAAATCAATAAGAAATAACGTTAAATTTTGACGAGTTAAGTAAGATACAGGGTGGAAAAGTAAAAGCAGGTGTTTTATTTTTTATTATTATCTTATATTATTATTATTTATAATAAACGGTTTATCAAATTGGATTGAAATTGGGAACACAGCTAGTTAAATCAGAAGTACATATATTTATATGAATTTTATCGTCTGAAATATTTTTAAATTTCTGCCCTTGTTTTTGTTTTAATATTAGAAGGGGTAAAATTAAATATTATAGGAAAAAACATTTTTTTCGACATCTATATTTTTGTTTTTTTTTGCAAAATGGTGTAAAATTATATTGTTTTGATTGCGACGTTGCTAAGTTTTTAATACTTTACAAAATTTTACAAAATCACTTAAATTCTTTTAGCATCTTTATTATTAATAATAAAAAAATCAAATTTTGTGCATTAATAAAGAAAAATTAACTTTTTTGTTTTGATATTATTTTAATTTGCTTTTGTTATACAAAGTGTTAATAACAAGTAATCATTTTTTTTAAACAACACATTTTTTATTTTGTTATTTTCTACTATTAGGAATTGTTATTTTAATATACATTTGGTTGTATTTATTTGAAAATTTTGCTCAATTTTAATACAGAATTAATTCAAAACTAATATATTTTATAAAAATAATTGCTTCAATTCCAATTTTACGTTGAAATAAAGCAATCTAGGATATTTTCCAATCAATTTGGCTCAGTTTTAAGCCGGAAATCAACCTGAATCAAAGTATTTCAACAAAATAATGGCTTGATAATGAGTTTTCTAATAAAATATAATAAAAAAAATATAATAAAACCAGTCTGAAACAATGCAAATTTTACTTATTGTTTCGCTTTTCAAAATTGCAACACTTTTACATATTTTTTTTTATTATGACATCTAAAAAATTAAATATAGATCAAAATCTAGATTTTTGAATTTATAAAATTTTAAGTATGACATTTAAACTTCATTTATCACGTGGCATGAAATGACATTTCCCAATCATGTTTTTCAAAATTTGTGGCTTGTAATTTTGTTTTTTACAATTTTGAGGTATGATGGAAACATTTCGTGTTTCAGTAAAATTTTGAAAATTTACAAAGACAAAAACAATACAACATTATTATCGTATCAACAATAAATTACTCCCTAGGATTTAGGGATATTCGTGAATAGGTTGCCATAGATTTGGTTAGGTTGGTTTTTAGTGACAAACAAAAGATATCGTAAGTAGTGTCAAAAATTTAGTTTAAGTCACCTGTCAGTCTGTATAGATAACTCAATTGATAGTTGACAGCAGGTTGACAGAAAACGTCAACCGTCAACAACAAGGGGTAACCAACACTAGGCATTCAAAATTACTTCTGAAAATTCTAGTTACAAACAACATGAAAAACGTAATTTTCCTAAAAATTCAAATCCTAGGTGGTAATTTCTTGTTGACAAATCTGTACTTTCACCTATTGTTTTTTGTGTCAAATAAACAAAGTTTGTCATTGTTAAAACGTCGAAAAAACGAGTTTGCTTTCGTATTACATGAATGTACGGCTTTTTAAAATACACACGAGGACAAATATAAATAAAAAATGATACTTACTGTGGATGAAACTTGAAATTCTTTATTTTTCAAAAACTTTCACTGTTTTTGCGCATAATAAACAATCTGACGTCACAATAGTTACCATAGCGACGTTCTATAATAGCCGACTTTAAATAAAAATCTAAACAACTGGTAAAAACTTTATTTAAATACAAATTACAAATTGATCTAAATACAAATTCACTTTTAAATACAAATACAAATTGATTAAAATACAAATTACAAATTACACTTTTGAATACAAATTACCTTGAGACCCATCACAGGAGTATTATAATTAAGTACAAAAAGTCAATTATTTTTTTTGCGCGGCCTACCTCGACTACGTCGATTTTGATCACGGGAGGGGGGCTGCGAAGTATTGAGGGGTAGCAGCTCCCTGAGACGCTGATAGGCCGTTTCTGGGGGCCCATTATAAAAAACCCCAATCAATTCCTCCATTAGTAGGTTTCTGGTGTCCCTCATGCGGTTTTGACAGAGGGGGCACCGCCCCAATCGTCTATGGCAGGTTTCACAAAAACTGTGTCCTATCCAGCAAATAAAAATCCTGCTTCGCATTATCTCGTAACATACTGGGCATTCGAAGGATCTCGGGTGCGGTTGCTCACTCATTTTACAAATTTTTACACAAATTAACAAAACTTATCTGACATTTGTTTAAAAAAAAAAGCGGCAAAAACCAAGACCGATTAATTTTGAGTTGGCAGTACTGCGTCTGAGAGATAAATATTGAAACTACTTTTCGGCGCAAAATCGATATTTGTGATGAATCTGCGAGGCATTTTTTACGTTTTGTTGATTTTCTTCGTGCAAATGTGGCCAATTTGGGGCCTAAACAACAAACCTAACCTCACTCAACCAAAACCGATTTCTCAAGCGGCAATTATCAGAGTGGGTTGTAGTAACGGATATAGACTTATTAACGGTGTTTGTCGCAAAATCTACTTCTAAGTGAGTCCAAATCGATTTATTTTGCAATTTTTATGAGAAATGGGAAAATAATTCTAGGTATTTTAGTCGGCGGCAGTTGGTAATAGAAATGTCACTTGTCAACTAGTCAAAGCCGTTACACGTGTTTTTTTAAACGCAAAATTATAGAAATTGGTGTTGTTTTATTTACAATAAATTTATTTACGAAGAAATCAGTGTTTAATTGATTTGTGGTGGTTTTAAAAGTCGAAAAATGTCGATGCTTGCAGAGCGCAAAGTTAAGCAAAAATGGTCCTTGAATCCTCGAGGGAAGGCTTGGAGTGAAGGTAAGGGCCCCACTGACTCACAATAATGACTTGTTTTAACTTTAAATTACATGGGGGGCACTATTTCATCACTGACAAAAAGTGAGGTTATGTTTGTTTTTTCAGATTCGAGTAAATTTGGGCAAAAAATGCTCGAAAAGTTGGGCTGGTCACCAGGCAAAGGTTTGGGGGCTAAAGAAAACGGAATTGTCGAACACGTGAAAATTTCTTACAAGAACGACAATAAAGGTATTGTCAAAAAAAAGTCCAACATTTATTAAATTGTGTTAATTTTCAGGAATGGGGTTCAAAGAAACCAATCAGTGGAGTGAACACGACAGTAATTTCAATGCGCTGCTTCAGTCGCTTTCAGGGGCGAAGCCCCACGAGACTGACGTTAAAATTTCCTCACTTGAAGAAAAATCGCAAAGTTCACGAGTCCGTGTTCACTATAAGAAATTCACAAGGGGTAAAGACTTGAGTCGTTGTAGTGAGAAAGATTTAGCGAATATTTTCGGTAAAAAAAGCTTGAAAGAAGCACCAAAAACGCCCGAAAATGAGACAGTTTATGAAGAAAAAAACAGTTTTAGTCACAATGCTGGTTCTATGGTTGATTACTTCAAAAAGAAATTACCCAATTTTGGGAAAAGTAACGGTTTGGTTGGTAACAATGGGGTGACACATTCGGAGGAAGAAACCTACACGGGATTTGGTTTCAAGAAACGCAAATCGAGTGGGGAAGAATCAAATGGGACACCAAAAAGAATAAAAAAAGAAGAAAATGAAGGGTTCAGTAATCCGGCTTTTGATCCGCTTTATGGCAATGTTGAGGTACAAAAACACGTTTTGAATACAATAAAAGAGGAAGAAAACACTGAAGAAAGCAATGAAGAGAAGAAGATGAAGAAAGGTGTAAAGTTTTCACCAGGAATTGACAATCAAAGCTGTCAAAATTACGAAACAAACGAATGCGAGAGTAGTCAAAATAGTAGCAATTTTGAAGTAAAAAGAAAGAAGAAAAAGAAGAATGAAGATTGTGACGAGAAAAGTTCATTTGCGATTGAGAACCCAAATTTTGACACTTGTAAAACAAATGAACTTGGAAATAGTGAAATAAGTAACAATTTTGAAGTAAAAAGAATGAAGAAGAAGAAGAAAAATGAAGATTCGTTTGCGGTAGACAACCCAAATTTTGAAACTAATGAAACAAGTCAACTTGGAAATAGTCAAATGAGTAGCGATTTTGAAGTAAAAAGAAAGAAGAAAATGAAGAAAAATGAAGATTCGTTTGCGATAGACAACCCAAATTTTGAAACTAATGAAACAAGTGAGCTTGGAAATAGTCAAATGAGTAGCGATTTTGAAGTCAAAAGAAAGAAGAAAACGAAGAAAAATGAAGATTTGTTAGCGGTAGACAACCCAAATTTTGAAACTAATGAAACAAGTCAACTTGGAAATAGTCAAATGAGTAGCGATTTTGAAGTCAAAAGAAAGAAGAAAATGAAGAAAAATGAAGATTCGTTTGCGATAGACAACCCAAATTTTGACACTTGTGAAGTAAG